AATAGCGAAAACGTGCGCTAAAACAATGCAAAAAGCATACAAGTGTGTACATATTCCACATTTAATTCGTGACCAACTTGGGTAGCCAACGGACGTCAATGGCTACAAATAACTTTCGCAAAAGTTTTTCTTTGCGAAGGGAATCAAAACTACCTGCCAAACTTGTTATGCAACACATTATTCCTGTAAGCTTGTCAATAATTATTTGCAAACTTTCTTGAAGTACGAAAGTTAAACGTAATTGTGGTTATATATTTAGAAATATCTATATACATAAGTATGTACATACATACATACTCGAAGTATGATATTTTCTAAATCGAGATTTTCACTTTGTACAATACGATTTATTTGTAATTTTAATGCTTAGTGATGGATAGATATACTTTTCATACTTCTCACCTAACCAAAAACTATGTGTAAACAATTTTAGCAGTTTTTAGACTGCATCACAAAAAAAAGTTTCGGTTTTTCCGCCGGGATTATAAAATTATTACTATATTTGGAGACTTCCACAAAAATATTTCAGTAAAATAGTTTTTTACTCAAACCAGTCCTTAAAAAAAGTTCAAAACCAGTATCAACAAGTAAGAAAGTCTAAGTTCGGGCGGAGCCGAACATTAAATACCCGGCGCACGTATTAAATATATGTTTTTCTCCTTACCGAAAGCTACCGCTGCATGGTAAACCGGGGCGTATCAATTTTGAGTAAATTAGGGTCCTTAGATTTCGAAATTTTGAAGTTTCAAGCAGTTCTGAAATTTACCGTTATATGTAAGGCGGCCTCTATTTTAGTCAGCTTTCAATAAATTTCAACGTTTTGCTTTTATGTGGCAATCACAATAACCATACCGAGTTTGGTACAAATTGGTAGAACCGTTACCGAGATACATATATGTGATCATAAGTGGGCGGTGCCACGCCCATTTTCCAAAATTTTATCACAAACGTATTTCTTGGTTGAGAATTGTTGCAAGCATCAATTTTTAATAAATTAGCTTTAATAATTACTGCTTTATCGAAGATTTTGTATTTCTCTAAATTACCGTTATATGGGATGTGGGCGTGGTTATTGTCCGATTTTAAAAATTTTAGCCATTTAGTATTGTGCGAAGGCCAACAACTGTGCCAAGTTTGGAATAAATTGGTGCAGCGGTTATCAAGATATACAAATGTAACCATTAGTGGGCGTGGCTACGCCCATTTTCCGAAAATTTATAATATTCTTATTTTTCGTCTAAAACTTATTGTAAATATCAATTTTGAGTGAATTATCTTCAGTAGTTACTAAAATATCGCAGTTTTCGTATTTCTGAAAATTACCGTTATATGGGAAGTGGGCGTGGTTACAGTCCGATTTCGCCCATTGTTGAGATATCTCAATTTTTGCTCGAGTTATCGTGTACACGGTCTGTCCGTCCAGACAGACATGGCTTAATCGATTTCTCTATTCATTCTGAGCATTTATGTATACATTTGTCTATATCTATCTCGATTCGTTTTGGCTGTTACAAACAACCGTTATGTGAACAAAATGAATATACCCTTGTGCACAAGTGCGCTCGGGTATAAAAATTTGATTATTATGATTCTGTTGACATTTTTTTTTTAAATATTTTTATGCAAATTTTTTAAGCTTAAACTGTTTTGTCATCTGAGGTAATTTTTTTCAAAAAATCTTAAAAAAAAAACAATTTTTATCAATAAACAAAATAAATTTTTGGAGGTATTTTCAAATCGGTGCAGCTCATATATAATATGATATAATATTTTTTCCGAAATATTTTAGCGCAAGTCTTAAAATATAATGGATTTTATAATTCCAATGAAAAACCAGTACCGTTTTTTTTTTGTATGGGGAGTGATGCAATCTAAAGTACATATTACGTACATGGACTGGGTCCCGAAGAAACGTTTCAAATTACCTCATCAAGTGTGAATGCTTACTTGAAGAGAATTTTGGAGTCGTAACAGATCTTGTTCTTTGGCCGAGCTCAACAAAGCACGGCAGTCGTTTCTAATCTGCTCCAGTTGACGCCAATTGGAAATTCCAAGTGAAGCCAACCTGGTCTTTCCACCGCAGGGGGGGCCTCCCTCTTCCTCTGCCCCCACCAGCGGGTTCCGAGTTGAGTACTTTCAAAGCTGGAGCGCCGGTGTCCATACGAACGACATGGCTAAACCGTTGTATTTTAATTCGCTGCAACATTCAGGCTAGGTCCTTCTCTAATTCCTCTGCTTCGAGTGTGATACGATTGTCATCGTTCGTATGCCTTTTCTTAGCTCGGGGACACATAGACGCTGATCGTCCACCTCTTCATTAATCAGGAGGATGTAGTCCTATCCATTCTCCGTAGGCTTACATAGGTGAATCACTCTCCAATTCCGTGTGGGTATGTTCGGATTTTTACTCTGCAGCACCTGTAAGGCGCCCTTTGCTTTCAACACTCACACCTGGAGATCTGTAAATATTTTGTTTTCATCTTTATAAGGACAAGTGGGAAATGTGTATCTACTTAAAAAAAATGCATTTCCAAAAAATAGATATTACTCAGGGCCTTTCACAGTGATTTCCGAAGTTTGTAGGTATGTTTCCCTTATGCACTTGAAAATCAGTATGCAAATTCTTATTACAACTGACAGCAACGCCAACACGACTAATGAGAACAGGCAACATTGACAACAACAGCATTGCGACAACAATAACACCAATCGCAGCACACAAAAAAATATAATAGGTATATAAAAAATGACTAAAAAATCTGAAAAGCAAAGCATGAGCAAATAATGCACGTAAACATACCTTTGTATATGTACATACATATGTATATTTAATTTGTACATATCTACATATGTAAGCATTATTTGTGCACAACGCCATATTTATGCACGAATTGCTGACAAAAAAAGTAGCAGCAACAACCACAACAACTCCGCCAGTAGCAGCATTGTAATGCAATGCAGCGCCCCGCTACAGAGAACTCCAGGCAATTCTCGTCGCAATGTTTGTCAATCCACTCGAACAAATAACCGAGCAACTGCCAAGTGACAGACAACGCAACAAACACGCCAACCCAAGCCCACAGCAGCTTATACGATGTTTCCACGATTCGTAATTCGCTCTCTACACTGAACCAAAAAAAAACAACGAAAAACTTTCCTTACTTTAAGGTCGGAAATTCTTCCGAATGAGTAAAAAATTCTCCCGAATGTGTATTTTTTCTTTGGAATGTGTAAAAACGTGCACGAAAATATGGAACCGTGGATGTAATCTATCATTTTGAAGAAATGTTGGGCATGAAAAGAGGATAAGATAAAACTTCTTTAGCGCTATTTCGTTCCCATTTTTCTTCATTTTGATTGCTGTTTTTCTTCAATTGAGAGAAGTTTTTTTTTGAGTGTAAGTAATTCGCTAAGTAATTCGTGAATCACCCTGCTTCCACGACACGCATTAGTAATTCGTTTGTCAGCTCTAGTTCTTGTTCTTGTTCTTCGCTATTTGTTATTATTTTTGTGTACTGCAAATATCGAAGATAGAGCTAAAATTTAAGTTACCATCAACAATTTTAATTTATATAGAGAATATTTTATTAATATTATTCTATAACCAGAAAAATTGCCAGCAAATGGGACCAGGCCGGTGAAAACTTCGGTATATTTCCGAAAAATATTAGAGAAGACACCGATTCGTTCGTCATTCGCCTGGAATTTCGATCTGAATTACCTACAAATGAGGTAAAAGTGGAAACGCCGTATTAACGACCATGCAGCCAAACAGCGCAGCGCAAAGCACTGCAGGCACGCACAAAGCTAGATGCAAACATCAAATTATTTATATTTATATATGTACATACTTACATATGTACATACATATGTACATATATTATATTTTGCGCCAGAGCACGCACCGGAGCTCCATTTGTAGGATGGGGCGTCGAGGCTGTAGAAGATAGGCATTGAATGGATGGTTGATGAAAATACTTTACAGCTTTATTGCTGGCAGTTATCCAACTGGCAAAACAAGTACACACAAATACGAGTACAAAAAACCAAACGTGCACACTATGCATTTAGTATGTGTGTGTATAAAAATATATATGTATGTACCCTGCAGGAAATGTGTCTAACTATAAGCTAACTTGAAATTCACTAGGAAGACTCTAAAGCCCACTTATTATCTGTATATTTACCTTGACGGAAGCTCCTATATTTGAATGCCGATGGCCGCAAAATAGTCAATACTTTTGGGAATAAAATATCAATAAGAAAAAAATATTTTTAAAAAATTAGTTTACTTGTTTTTTCGATCTTCATTTTATTTCTATCGAATTCGAAAAAGGATCTGCAAAGTAAAACGTAAACAAGTTGCACAAGTGTGACGTCATGCAAACAACGATTCTGTCAAATTCGTTAGGAGACGAATAGCGGTCCGAGATCGGCGCAACCTTTGTATTCTCTCAATCGTGGCACGAAGCGGCATATGTTTCTAATAAAAGCATAGGAGCAAGGAGCACTTATATTGTAAAAAATAATAAAAAGTTATGGTTATGGTATTTCAGACCCCTTGAAAAGCCCGGGGGTTCACCCCTTCCCCTTTCCCTTTCGATGGGCCTGATCGGGGAATGAGCCTTCGGCACCCATCCACAGAAACGTAGATAAAATTTTTTTAACAGCCGTTTTTTTAAATTAACCAAAACAATTCACGAACAACTACAGTAGAAAACAGATTCCTACAAATACTTACAACTTGCACAACTCGATGATTGCGACATTCCAAAAATTTGGCCTCAGCTAGGGTTGCCAGATTGCAATCGAGGATTATCTGAACTTTAAAAAAAAATATCTGGACTTTTCTGTACAATTTAAAAACTCAAAATAAAACAATTGTGTAGTAAAAAAAATAAAAATTTTTTTATTCAAAATCAAACAAAAACATAAAAATTCATTATGGTATACATTTGCTATTTATATAAAAAAAATATATAGTTTTCTACAAATACATACATACATACATGTACATATTCAAATACATTTTTAACAATAAATTATGTATCTGTAGAAAAGAATTCGGACAAGTATTACAAAAACACAAACTTAAGAATTTCAGTTCCATAAATATTTTGTGTTATTTTGAGCAGCTTCCAATAGTTTTGTACTATCTTCTCGATTTAAAAATTCGATGAACGTTTTACAATTTTCATCTATATTTAATCGTATAACTAATTCAGCTTTAATTAAATCAATAGCCATTTTGTTACGATCTTTGGAATATAAGTCATTTAAAATACTGAAAACCTTCTCACAAAAGGCATTACTCAATGGTATGGAATATATAAATGCTATGAACTTTTTCAAATTCTTCATTTCTTCGTCTTTTACGGAACGAAAAAACGATGCCCATATTTGGTCATTTGGTACATTCTTTGGTATTGCATCGTACACACTTCTTAGGGAACAGTAATCCGTATATAAGACGTCAATATGTAATTCATTTTTTAAGTTTAAAGCAGCTATCACCATTTCTACTTCATCCCAAGAAATTAAGTTTTCTTTTAAGCTTAACAAAGATAAGTATTTTTTTATTGAGTTATCACTGAAATCATAATGAGTCGTTAAGTAATCAATCGCAGCTTTTAAAAAGTTTTCAGCTTCTTCTTTGAAAATATTTCTTTCGTTTTGTGGGAGTTTTGCCAAAATTGACTTTGTTTTGCTGCCAAAGTATTTATCTTTCAGCTTGCTTTGCAACGTGTTCAGTAATTTTCGCATTATATGATCTACATCAACAATTGTAGAACTGTCGCTTTCTAGCGCCAACACCGATGTCTGAAAATCTGGTAACATATTGTGTAGAAAATATAAATATGCTTCTGAAAGTCCCTCTTGAAAACATTCCTCGTTCTCACTTATAACTTCTGACTCTGGCAAATTTTTAGAAACAAAGTCCCATAATTCCTTTCGTGTAGCTTTTTTGCCCTTTAGAAGAAAGTACCTTTTGACTGCTGGCCAGTTTAAAATGAGGCGTTCTATGGCAGGAAACAGGGAAAGCCATCGAGTTGGTACATGACGAAGAAGAGCCTTGTATTGCAAATTAGCGAATTCGAAGCACTGTTTTAACTTTTCCGAAGCTAACGCCGAACTGCTAAATTCATTAAATATTTTGATCACTATATTTTCAATATCAACAGATAAAGCATTTATTGCAAATTTCACACAATTATTTATAACGTGGCAGTTGCAATTTGCTTTCAATATTTGTTTGTTAAGTCCACTGAGTTTCTGATAAACGGAATTGTTGATGCCGTAGTTGACTGCCGCATTATCTGCACTAAAAGATGATATTTTTTGTATTTCCAGGCCATTGCTTTCAATTATTCGCTTTATATTTTCAAATATGGCAATCGATTTTCCATCAAAATCTTCGTAAAAATCTAAAAGTTTTTTACATATTCCACTGTTCGAATCGAAATACTGGACAGTCAAAGCATATAGCTTTTTATTTCCAATACTTGAAGCATCATTGCCTATGGAAAAATAAACATTCTTCTGCATAGCAATCACAATTTGTTGTTGAGCGTATGGTGCTAATACGTTTCGTGCTATAGCTGCAGCTTTTGTACGACCACATGACATATCCCCAGCAATTTTACTATCACAAAATATATTGCGAGAAACTTTCAAATGGCAGTCAAGACTATTGTAACTTAAACCATGAATTACATTATGAAAAACCGATGCTACTTCAGCTCGTGCAGCTAAGTTTCTTGCCGGCGTTTGCGATTTTGTAGTAAATTTGCTTAGAGAGCCAGCGATTTGTTTCGCCGATTTTATAGTTTGGTGCTTTTTTGATTGAAAGTGTTTTCTTAATGCACTAAGACCTTCATATTTTATTGAAAAGCTTACTACGCAATATGTGCACCGTGCTGTTTGTTCATCAATCTTCTGAAGCCAGTCAGAATATTCTGGAATATTTGTCCAACTGTCTGAAAATGTTACCATTCTTCTCTTATTTTTTGATGGCTGCTCTTCATCGCTGCTTTCTGGCATTTTTACTACATATGAAACACTTACTATTAACAAATAGTTCAAATATTTCCATAATTTTATAACTTACCTGCTTACTTGCAAAATTCGATTTAATATAAGCAGCTGATGTTCAGAGTAGTGTTGGGCAGTATCGATTCCAAAAGTACTCAGTACTCGATGCTGAAAAGTATCGACAGTACCCGATTCTTAAAAGTATCGATACTGACTACTACTACTACGACTATTACTACTACTACTACTACTAACAAGTACTTGTACATAAGAAGTACTCAATACCGAAAATGAACTCAGTACAGAGTTTGGTATTTGTTTCCTTTAGCACCAACATTTTTTTTTAAATATCCTTAAAAAAGGAAAAAATAGAAATATCTGGACAAATTTTAAAATATCTGGACTCTGGACACATAGTAAAATATCTGTACAATCCAGGCGAGTCCAGGCCGTCTGGCAACCCTAGCCTCAGCACATGCAATACTTTTTTTCACATGCGTTTCTCTGGCGCAGATTTTTTGATTAGAGTTCGAGAAAGTACCATCAAAACAGTGAAACTGGGGACTGTATGAATTGAATTCAGTCAGTCTAAAGTTAACTTGTACGTGATATTCGACGAAAATATGTATCATATTAAACAAAAGTTCGATATTTGCAACAACCTTGAAACTTGAACCGAAACCGACTTTCCCTGCTGGCAAGAATAGAGTTCCTACTGTAATTAAAAAAAAAAAAAATAAACAAAAACGGACTTCAAAACTGACTCCGCAATAAAATAAAATGCACCACAAAGAGTGAAAAAAAATTTAGGAGTACTGCAAATCAACGTTTCAACAGAAAAAGAGCGATTTCTCGAAAATCGCATTTTCAGGCTCATTCGGTTAGTGGTAAGTGTTCTCGAACTTCATATTGTGCCTATATATATATAATTCTTTATCTGACGTCCGCTTGGCTATAATGTTCCTACACACCCTTCATTACAACTGGGCCGATGTACGACTTCTGCGCTGATTGTACAATATATGTACATTCTTGTTTAGTTGATGGGACAACGCGGGGCGGGATGTCGCCTTGGACGGCGAATTAAAGTTAAGTGGTGCGCCGTTGCCGCTCCATGCATACAACCAAAGTGGAATAGCGTCGGTTGAGTAGTGATGGCAGCGTGTCGGTAGTGGCTGCCTGACTGAGTGGTGCCAGATGTGCGGATTTCGCCCCATTTTGGGGATTTCTGAAACCATTTGGGGATAGATTTTGGAGATGTGGGGATTTTTGTTTAGTTTAAAATTTTCATATTAAAAATAAAATAAAAATGTATATTTAGCTGGCTGCCCTTGAAAATTTCTCGAAAAAAAAGATTTAAAAACACGGTTTATCTATCGCCGTCAAAGCATCATTCGCCGCAAATGTATGGTTTGGTTGACTTTCACTAAACAAACAATTTTCTCTCACTTCATTACACCAAATTGTCATTTAATGAATGAACTACATATCGTTACCTACATATATAGAAATACCCTAACTCATATTCTCACTGATATACAAAAAGCCGGAAATTCCCTTTTTGATTGTTTATGATGCATTTCATCGAATTATAAGTCCCCACATCATTTTAAGCAATAAAAAATTTGAGTCAGTTACGGTTTTTTGCGTTTCAGCGACTATGTATGTATATGAGCTAGGGCCTTTCTATATTAAGGTAACGATATATTTCTGATTTCTTTGCGCCAACACCGTCGGTTCTTCATTTAGTCTAAAAAAAAATTTAATAAATGGCAAGCGTCTAAAAAAAAGCAGAATAATTGGAAGAATTTACAGACAGCAGCAGGAACCTTGGGCCAAAGTTATGTTGTTAAATAGTCCCCAAAAAGCTTAAAAAACAAGAAACCGCAATACATAAATAACCAAATGATCTCATATATCTCAGAAAACACTTTTATTTTTTCGGTAAGCGCTTATTTTTTTGTCGATGGAGTAAAGTAGCTGTTAGACGTGGCAAGTGTAAGTCCTTTTCAGAGATTGCAGGAGCAGTTACACCTTCCGATAGTATTTTTTGTCTGTTTACACGGCGATTGTAGACAAGTCCACTTTCAAATACGTTACCAGACATTAATGGCCTGAAAAATTTACTTAACCTGCTAAACTGTGCACAAAACAGTCGCAAAATGTCTAAAACATTAATACTCAAATACCTTATGTCAGTAGAATAAATTAGTCACACATATTTTTCATATTTCATTCAACATTTGTATAATTTTATACAAATTCGCCAAAAAAACGAGTCATACGGCAACAGTCGATTGGTTTGACAGTACTTGCAGCAAAAATTAAAATTATTAGTTCAGCACGAGCAGGTTGAAATTATTTCGCGAAAGCGAATTGCGTAATTTCAGTTGCAGTTATGCCTTGCAATTTTTATTTCCGAAAGTGATTTCTGCAAATCTACAAAGAGGAGTTTCTGGCTGTTTACACGGGAAAGTAGACTTTCGATTTCGCATTTTGACAGAAGAATGCGTAGAAAAAGCGCTGGCATTGCCACGTTTAACCGAACCTTAATCGTTTACCTCCAATGACATGCCTACGTTAAAGTAATGCATTCTGTACATTTGAAGGTAAGTCGTGAATCTCGAAGAGTGCTTCCTCAATCGGAGATAAAAAAATTGGGATTTTTTGGGGATAACTGCGGCTCGATATGGGGATGCAGTACAAAAAGATTCTGGCAACACTGGCCTGACTGCTTCACTACTTGGCTGGCTGTTTGACTGGCGGATTCATGCCATTCCGTGTTGTTCCATATCGTATCGTGGAGAACGAACAAGCGAAGCCACTCATTGCTAGTGAAGCGTTGATGCTGGTGCGACGAAAGGGGAACATTGTAAATACATAAATACAGTGGCGAACATATAAACAGGGACGTTTCATTTTAACAAGTTTAAGCTATTTTGCTTTTGTTTATTTTTGTATGAAACTGTAGCTCTATATTTATCTATAAAAAAAAATTCAACAAAATTTCATATTTCCAGAAACATTTTAGAAATTTCAGAAATTTTAGTATAATAAAGTGCGAGTTTTAAGTAGCTATGACTTACCGCTGATTTTTGAAATTGTTTTTGTTGAAGGTGTTGCTCATTTTCCGCATGAAAAAAAAATTGTTGGAACATACTTTGTATGGAAAAAATGAATTACACGGTGAAAAAAACCTTGCAAAAAACCAAAACTGCATACCAAAAATTTTTCCGATAATTCGAATTAAAAAGTTTAAAATTGTACAAAATTTTCTGGATATTTATCGAATTTTCATAATTTTCGCACAAAGTTTGAAATTTGGACTTGCATGGTTTTAGTTATATAACGAGCTACACTTAAAAAAAATATATATAATAAACATTAAATGAGCAAAAGAAAAATTGCCAAAACTTGTTAAAATGTCGCGTTCG